TGGAATCCCAGAGCTGTTTAGATGTCTCCTTCTGCGTGATCGTCTTCAGAATTGACTTGTCAATCGACTGAAACAAGTAATTCTTAGCCTTCAAATCCTTCAACTTCATCTCCTCCAGGTTCTTTATTTGCTCTGCCGCCATTCTATCTCTACTCTTCGGCTCCGTGTAGTCTGATTCAACAGTAACCCAATACTCCTTGGATCGAAGGAGATTCTCCATGACCATGCTCCAATGATCGTAGTCGCCGTCGAACTTCGGGATGGAGGCTGCTGCAAAATTTGCTTCCGAACCCACCTCTCAGGTCACTGTTTTGATACCAGAATGTTAAATGTAACAGAAACATAATAGAAGCTTTTGGGAATGACTTTATTCATTGTAAATTTCAGCAAATAAATAAGAAAACAAAAGCAACCTACATGTCACGTACTAGCTAAATTTTAGGAAATAAATTTAACTACAAAAACTTGAATAAATCAACTAATAGAAGTACTATAAACTAGGACACTAATTTGACTAAGCCTTATCAATTTTGTTATGAGTAATAAGGATTTGTTTGGATAAACAACTTATTTATATTTTATAACATAAGAGTTTATGAAAATAATCACTTATAAATAAGCTTGTATAAGTTTATTTTTATGGCAAAAGATAAAATAAATTTAAATGATTTTTATATTTGTTATAAGTTGTTTTCATAATGTATCTTGAAAAACTTTTAAACAATAAGCTAAAAAAATTTATAAACAATATAATAAGCTTGTTTTGATAAAATATTCTAAACAGTGTACAAAATTTATGTCAGTAGATAACAAAGAGAAAAACACCTGCACATCCAAAAGCAACACACAATTACTAAGGCACCTAACCTTGTTTAATTAAAATGAACACAAGGAAACATTTTTTTTGCATACTAATAGAGGTAAATTCAAGTGAGATTCAAAAACAGGATCCAATCTTCTCTCCATTTATTTTTAATGTAATAGTTGATAAATATAGTTAGTTATAAAAGAGGTCAGTGTCCATTGCAAGAGGGAGTGTCCAGTGCTTATTTATATAAAGTACTTATCTTATTATATAAGACATACATGATATCTTGTGCTTCAAATCTTATCAAGATTGTATTTTCCTTTTCATGATTCATCAATAAATTAAAAAAAAAATGGACACAACAAAAAAACAGTCTGTCCTATCTTACGTGTACGTGTAAACTAAAAAACATGCACTACAAGTAAGGTGGCATGCGTGGAGCCTGAAGAATCAAAATGTGTTTATTGTGAGGTCCTTTTTTTTCCTCCTTTTGCTTTCTTCCATAACCTCACTTTCTTGTCTACGCTTTCTGGGACCCAAAAATATGAAAATGAAAGAAGCATTGACAGAAACCCCAATTTATTAACGTGTACACCTTAGATATAGAGCCACCTCTGTCTTTTCCTTTACCTCAAGGAATAATCATATCAATTATCAACCTTAAAATTTATTTATCTAATTATTATCTTTTCACTCCATTTTTAGTTATTATCTGATCACAATGAATGGCCATTACCACCTTACCACGTTCCAAGTGATATTAATGCTTTGTGTTGATTGAAATTGAGGGCTCCATGTTATGAATGTTTATGTTTATCACAAATATTCATATTTTTTTATTCAATAATTATGGACAGCACGCGTTAGCAATGACATTAATGTAAAAGACGACAAGCAACAGACTTATATACTCCACCACCTTGTTGGAAGCTAACAAGAAACTTTCTAGACAAAGAAAGCAACTCAGTAGATAGTGAATAAGTTAACCCTTTCCCCAAGTTACCACAATTGCCACCAAAGCATAACAAATATAAGCGTGCCCTCTAACCCCTCCATTCAGTTCTATTCTTTTACTTATGAATAGAAACCAACCTTCATTAAATTTCCACAAATACTCACCCTTTTGTCTTCTTTTATATTATTATCATCATCATGGATCATAGACTTTGTGTAGATGGAGAAGAAGATGGAAGCATTCATCTAGAAGTTGGTGAACTTAGGAGGCTAAGCGAGGCAACGAGCAAAAGCTCCACAATGTTTGAACCTCGCCGTGGTCTTAGCAGTATAGAAAAGAGAGATAGTTGTGAAGCTGATAACGAAAACTCTAATAATGAATCTTCAACGTCGGTTAGAGCACCGGAAAAGAAACTTACCTTATTCGCCCTGCGCCTCGCCGTGCTTGAAAAAGCAGCAACTGGTTTGGGAACTCTTGGTTTTATATGGGCCACCGTTGTACTTCTCGGCGGTTTTGCTATTACTTTAGATAAAACAGACTTTTGGTTTATCACAATCATACTCTTGATTGAAGGAACAAGGATTTTCAGCAGGAGTCATGAGCTTGAATGGCAGCATCAAGCCACATGGTCTATTGCGGAGTCAGGAATCTATAGTTTCAAGATGCTTAGAACGAGTTCGAATTTACTTCTTCAAAGTATAAAGAATCTTTGCAGGCCTATTAATGATGCTGTAAAGAAACGCAGGAGGGACACGGTGGAGGCTAATGTAGTTACGCCGAGGTGTTCGGATAACAGAAACACAAGGACAACGACTCGCACGTGGATTAGCTCAGATGTTCCACTTTTGCCTTACGCTAAATGGTTTTTCCTTTCAAGGCATATCAGCAAGGTTCTGTATTGGCTGCAGCTTCTTTCTGCAACAGCTTGCGTGGTTCTGTCTTCGACGAAGCTCATCAGACATAATTACGGAGAGATTGCTAAGGGAGATACGGATAAGAGGAACCGTGCGTCTGCTCTCAACATCTTTTATGCATTGGCTCTTGCAGAAGCTTTGTTGTTCTTAACTGAAAAGGCTTATTGGGAGTGGAAAATAAGTTACTGTGAACTGTTGGATGAGGTTAACAAAGAGTGTGAGTTGGGGCCATTAGGGATGGTTTCTATTCGGAGATTCTTTTATGATGCGTATTCGAGGTGTGTCAATGGAAGCATATTTGATGGATTGAAAATGGACATGGTTTCTTTTGCTATGGATCTATTGGCCTCAAACTCGCCTGACGAGAAGCTCATTGGAGCGAGAATTATTCGGCAATTTGCAAATAGTGAGAGGTTTTCGGACGATACACTTCAAAAGATTGGAATTTCTATATCATTGGTGGAGAGACTAGTTGAGATGTTGAATTGGACAGATCACAAGGAAGAAGAACTCAGGCTGTCCGCTGCTGAGATTTTATCGAAACTAGCAGGTAAGAAGCAAAACTCTCTACGGATAGCTGGGATACCGGGAGCTATGGAATCAATATCGTCTCTCCTACAAACTAGCAGAAATTGTATGCATGCTGCTGATGAAGTAGGAGAAAAGAAACTCATATTTGATCACCCGAGTTACGGATTCTGGACATTTAACCATCTAGGACTACTCATTCTGAAAAAACTCGCGCATGATCACGACAACTGTGGAAAGATTGGAAATACAAGAGGCCTACTTCCAAAGATTGTAGATTTTACACATGCCGAAGAAAGCCTGCTGAAGAACGAAAATGTTACTCCGTCCCAAATACAAACTGTGAAGAGATCTTTGCAGCTGGTGAAGATGCTAGCTAGCACAACAGGAACCTATGGAAAACATCTTAGAAAAGAGATTTCAGAGGTAGTTTTCACAATCAGCAATATTAGAGACATTTTAAGACATGGTGAAAAACATCCCTTGCTACAGAAACTGAGCATAGAAATTTTAACAAGTCTTGCGTTGGAAGAGGAAGCGACCGAGAGGATTGGAGGTACAGGTGGAGTGCTTAGAGAATTGTTCAACATATTTTTCGGACAAAGCATACCTGATAATCAGAAAGATGTAACAGCGGTTGCTGGCGAGGCCTTAGCAATGCTGGCGCTAGAAAGCAAGTGCAACTGTCATCGGATTTTGAAGTTGAGAGTGCTCGGAAGGCTTGTAGAAGCATTGAAAATCCCGCTGATTCGTGTCAGTGCTGCTAGAATTCTAAGGAATTTATGCAACTACAGTGGATCAGAATGCTTCAGCCAGCTAAAGGGAATCACAGCAGCAGCTCCCACAGTAAGTGTCATTTTGATTTATCCATCAAGTATCAACATTTGAGGTTTATACTATGGCCCTTTTTGTATTAAAAACTTGATTAAGTGCTTATTTATACGCTATTTTTATGATCAATCTCTGACAATTCCTCAACCTTGCAGGTACTTCAGGCAATCATGTTACAAGAGAACAAGCTACAAGAAGTGATGGTTGGGCTAGCAGCAAATGTTTTCACATTCATGTCTTCTTTTGAATCAAGATCAGTGTTTCAAGAAGCTGGAATCACTGAGGCTGAATTGGCCAAAAAGTTAGTCCAAGTTCTCAAGAAACATCAGTATCCAGCAACAAAGGTCCCAAGAATCAGGAGGTTTGTGATTGAGCTGGCTATTTGGATGATGAAAGACAAAAAAGAAAATATAAACAATTTTAAGGATCTGCAAATGGAAGAAGTGTTGGAGGATGTATTAGAGACCACATCAGAGCTCGAAAGCTTTAACGTTTTCTCTGGTACTGTCGGTCTGAATCGGCACAATCTAACAATTCACTCACTGGTTGAGACAGCTTTGAAGTTGCTGGTAGACAAGTAAAAATATCAAACACAGTACATTATTACAAGATCAATAATCCATGTTGATTTAGAGCAATCACTGTAATAATGTACCTGTATTGTACATATATGTGTGTAATCTTCAAGGGCTAGAGAGAGATATAGCCTTATTCAGTAATTTATTCATTAATTCATTTCTTTTACGATTCAATGTTATTATTTGAATTAAATTAAACATAGTTTTCATTTATCTAAATCTACTATTATAATTCTCAGACCGATAAAACACACATTCAAACGAAACCAACACATCATAAAAAATAGTTGAATCATAGATTCCTCCATGCGTGCTGGTATCACTCCCTATTTGCGACTTAATTACAAATCACTCGACAAAAAGTTTGTGGACTCCCAATCAACATTCTAGGCAATCACTTTCGAGACCACTCCTGCACCAACTGTCCGGCCTCCTTCTCTCAAAGCGAATCTTTGTCCTGTTAATAATTAAACGACTGTTGTAAGACTATACTGTTGAATATGGTCATACACAAAAAATGTTGAATATATGAAATCAAATAGTATTTATGTGATCCATCATAGATAATGCTTACCAAGTTCAAGAGGAACAGGTAACATCAGCTCAAAAGTTGCAGTCACATTATCACCAGGCATAACCATCTTGACGTTTTCTGGTAATTGCACCTTTCCAGTAATGTCTGCAGTCCTCAGGTAAAACTGAGGCATATAGTTAGAGAAAAAAGCAGTATGGCGGCCACCTTCATCTTTTGAGAGAACATAAATCTCCGCTTCAAACTTCTTATAAGTTTTCAACGCACCAGGCTTCGTGATAACCTATAATAGATATTTTTTTGACATGTTAGTTGCTACTTTTTTTTCTTGTCTTTGAATCAAAAACAGTTTTACTCACCATTCCCCGCTGTACATCATCTCGCTTAAGACCTCGTAGAAGAAGTCCTACATTATCACCAGCCTAGAAATGTACACATATTTTTCAATTATCCACTAATCAAAACCGCGAGGAAAACAAAGTAGAGGATAGGAAGAGCTATGTGATTTTACTCACTTGCCCTCTATCCAAAATTTTCTTGAACATTTCCACACCAGTTACAGTAGTCTTCACAGGTGGACCCTATAGACAAAAGACTGATAAATACAAAAACATAAACCACAAAGCAAAAAAACATATAGGACATTAATTTTCCGTGTACCTGTGTTAGTCCTAGTATTTCAACCTCTTCACCAACTTTGATAGTGCCTTGTTCAACACGACCAGTGACAACAGTTCCACGCCCCTTCACACAAATGGAATGAGGAGTGAATACAGAACAGAATATGGCACTGCATCATGAATGGGAATAGTTTTGCTTATGGTATGGCATATTTCTACTTACCTGAATAGAGAAAACATCTTCAATTGGCATTAAAAAAGGCTTGTCAAGCTGCCGGACGGGATCAGAAATGTATTCATCGACAGCATCCATTAGTTTCAAGATAGCTTTCTTTCCAAGTTCTTCGTTAGTCCCTTGCAAGGCAGACAAAGCCGAGCCTCTTACAATTGGGATCTCATCCCCAGGAAATTTGAAGAAATTAAGTAGTTCTGAGAAACAGTTGTGTGTAAAAAGATACACATGCATACATTAGCAAAAAGTGTTGGATTTTTTTTCTTCTCATTCAATTAAACGTAAAACTATGAGATGACAAATTTATACCGCGAAGTTCCATTTCGACAAGTTCAAGTAACTCTGGATCATCAACGGTATCTACTTTATTTAGAAAGCAGACCAGTGATGGTACACCAACCTGCAAAGAAATATGTATGATCTTAGAATGGCTTTGGTTAGTTTAACAGAATAAAAAAAATGTAGATGTTAATGAAATGATCTACGAACCTGACGAGCTAGGAGTATATGCTCCTTTGTTTGAGGCATTGGACCATCCGGAGCAGAAACCACAAGGATTCCACCATCCATTTGTGCAGCTCCAGTTATCATGTTCTGTAATTTCGCCAAACGAACTAAGAATAATGGCTCCATCTATAGCATTATATGATTGATGATGAAGGTTACCTTAACATAGTCTGCATGTCCAGGACAATCAACATGAGCATAATGCCTCTTTGCTGTCTCGTATTCAACATGAGCCTGCAAAATCAACAAGGTAAGACCTATGATTAGCTCAAGAGTAAGTTTTACGAAATTCAATACTTGAAACTGTCACAAGATGCATGATTTGAGTATGGACTTGAAGGGAAACAGAGAAAATGAACCATGTCTTACTGTAGCAATAGTGATTCCTCTTTTCTTCTCCTCAGGAGCTTTGTCTATTTCGTCAAAAGCAATGGCCTTGGCTTTACCTTCATCAGCTAGTACCTGTTCCACTTCCACAAAATCAATCAATTCACTTGTACAATAAGTTTGTAAAGTACAAAACATAAACCGAATCGCTCAAATTTAATGCCAAAATGTAATATAAAGTAAAATTCCTCTCTACTATGAAAGTATCATACATAAAATGTGGAATTCAACCCTCATACCTTCGTAATTGCAGCAGTTAGTGTGGTTTTGCCATGATCTACATGCCCAATTGTGCCAACATTTAGATGAGGCTTTCTGCAAATAAAAAAAGAAACAATAATAACCATTTTGATACATTGACACATGTAATAATTTGTTAAAATAGAAGTGATCGAGTATTATATAACAACATGTGTAAACATGTTTTCAATCTGAATTATCGGTGTTATATAATAGTGCGGGAAATAAACCTAATATTTTTACGTGCATGATTGCATGCATATGAGTTATATAAGCATTGTAGAACAAGAAGTAAGGAATGTAGTTAGGGTTTAATTTATATATATTACGTTCGTGTGAAAGTGGCCATGGATCTGTGAAGAGGAGATGCAACATTGTTGTTGGTGGAAGAAGATATGAAATGGAAAGATAGGAGAAGGCGTTTTCTGAAGAAAGCAACGGAAGCCATTGGAAGAATGTTAGAAATGGAAGATGAAGAATAGAGTGAAAGAGAGAAGTGAAGTGATCGTTGTTGAGATTGTGTGTTTGAAGAGTCGCAGGTTGTTGGTTCCTGATGTGGTTGGCGCTGTCATTAAGTGACACGTAATGAACTGAATCCGCACAAATATACTACTACGTTAATCAAGTCAGATACTATATTCATTATTTACCCACCTTGGGACATTCATGCATGCCTATAATTGGAGAATTTTCATTTGTTTATAGCATAAAAGCCCAAAAGAAATAATATAGATCCTCTCCTGTCCCTTCTCTCATCTTTTATATGGTGTTTCAATTTCAATTATTCATCCATTAAATAGTATTAAATAATATTGATAGTTTTTTATATTTTATCAAAATAAATGATTGAGATTGAACAACACTATTCAGCTACCACAGAGAATTCAATTTGCAAAAAAAAAATATTTCAGCTTATTATCCAACTTCACGGGAATTTAACTTGCAACTCCTAATTATACATGACATCCTTTATATTTTGATAATTTCAAAAGTGCCCTCATTCAAATGGTAACTAAATACTCGAACAAAATTTTTGATAGGAAATTTGAAATTTTCGGTAACTAAATTTTCGATAGTGTATTTGAATGTATGATCTAATATCGGAATTTTCCAAAATTTCCGGTAAACATCAATTATTTTCGGAAATTTTAAAATATGCAATTCTATACGGGAAATTTTGCCCAAAGTGAAATTTTCGGTAATGAAATTTGCCGACAGTTTTGTACGGTTGTGATTGCACCGATCATTTTATGTGGTTCAGGATGAATTAAAAGTTGTATAATGGCAGTCATCTGTTGTTGAGAAAAACATCTTACAATGTCTCTTCCTCAATTTTTGATTAAGACATAAGTGTACTTCAACGAAGATGAACCTTCTGTAGAGTTCCGGCTTCCGGATGACACCACATTTATCGCCTCCTTGACATTTAAATTGAATGAATTGTTGTCTGATACCAATAACATAAAGGTGACAAATATCGAGTTTCATGAAGATTGAATTGATATTGATGGAAGAGTGAAATACAGCTTTATTGAGTTGAAGACCAATGAAGATTTGACGGTAATATGGAGATCATTTCGTCGTAGACTAACTAAGGGGCCGATCAAGTTTGATGCAAAGATTTCAAGATTTGTCAACGACATAATTAAGATGCTTAAACGTCTAGAATCATCCGGTAATGTCTAAGTTTTCATGTTTCAATATTTTTAATTTATGTTATAATATTTTAAGTTATGTTCACCTTCGAAACAGGTAACCGCCAAAATATCATATAATAAAAGGTAATGTGGTGGTAAGTAGTCTGAGTTAAAAAATACAAGAAATAAACCTGTAAAATTAAATAAGGTCCTCACAGGCTATATGTGTTGTTCGAGATAATCCAGTAAAAACATCACTATATGAGTTTACGAAACCCATTAGGTTATCTATGAAAAAAAGATGTCTCTTTGTGTCATCGCTAAACAAAAGTAGTCAGAAGTGGCGCGTTCAACATGATGAGTGAACAGTTGACAAACTCTAGGAGATCAAAATCAGCAACAATACGCTTGACCCTCTCAGGCATGAGACTGTTAGGGAAGTTCTTCATCTTTGAACCATGAAATGTCATCTTCAGCGGCTGACAGTCTTGTAACAAACAAAGTTAAAAAATTATTAGTAAACTTTTAACACATCATGGAACAATAAATAAATAAATTAAAGTTAAACATTATATATATATATATATATATATATATATATATATATATATATATATATATATATATATATATATATATATATATATATATATATATATATATATATATATATATATATATATATCTTCCATAATCGGTATGTGACATGGTCATCATACTTTGTGAGCATTGATTAGTCACAATGTCCTCCCAGAAACGCTCCATCAGTGTGAACAAATGACTCTATCGAAGCACGAGCTGTAACCTTTGTATCATCACCAGTAGCAGTATCTCATCAACAATAAAGATCGGATATGTGGCAACCACCTCATCAGCCACCTCCTCATCTAAAACGGACAACTTATCAACAACATGTACCGCGTCTAAAACAACCACCTCATCAGCAATAGGTACTGCATCTAAAACGACCACCTTAGCAACAACAGGTACTGCAAATGTCCCTGCACTTTGCATCTCTGAGCATGAACAACCTCAACATCATCTCTAGGCTACTCGTCTAGTCTCACCACTCAACATCGCGGTGCGCGGAACTGAGCCTGTGCAGCCAATCATTTCCGGTGAAAATCGGTTGGAGCTACTCGTCAAATTCATAACTAGGAAGACTCTGCCTCAGTAGCCCTAGCCAAAGATGCTGCTCTATCAGTAGTCATGGCTCCAATGATGTCTTTCTTCCCCCTGGTATTCACTGCAAAAGAAAAAAAAGAAGAAAAAATGAACTACCACCAATTTCTAAATTTCTACTTAGTATCGAAAATTCTAAAATTTTTGAAAAATTTCAAACATTTTTGAACCACCCGAAATTCTGCAATTTCCAGGATAAATGTGTATGAAAAACTTATGAAAATTATGAAATTTCGAATACAAATGGATTAAAAAAACCAAAATTTCTGATAAAAATATAATAAATTGTACCGATAAATTTAAAATTTTCGATAAAAATTTACTTTTTCCATAAATTCCAATATCGCAAAAGAGATTTTGAAATTTCCGCAACGCTTAATGAATTTTTAAAATGGTTGAAAATTTTGAAAGATTATTATAGTCAATTCATTGAGTTTGGAGAGTATCAAATATAACTTAAGGGAGTGACAAGTTAAATCCAGTGACTTCACTAACTCTACCTTGCCCCACTCAAACCAATTCAACTTCACCCAATCACAATGAGAATAACTTTAACTTTTCAATGTAGAATTGGTGTTTTTAATTGTGTTATTTGATCTATATAATATATTAAATTAGAATCACACATTATTTAGATAATACTCTAATTATTTTTGTATATGGTATATTCCAAAACTCTTCTTTATTTTTACAAAAATATATACTTATTCTCCATGACAATATATACGACACACATCATTTAAATTATTTTTTTACATTTTACAGAATATTATTTATATATGTCTTGCAATTATTTCTTTTTGTAAAGCTAAAATAATTATAAACCAGTTTATATATCAACGATTTCTTTCTCACTGCAACCTTTCAATTCTATATAAAAAAAATTTAAACTTTTACTTTTTCAAAACTTAACAACTAAAATATAAAAATAATGTGCATCACATAATACATATGTAAACAACTTAAAATAACTATCTAAAAATATACAGTATAAAAAAGAAACGAGAATGAAAGTAAAAAATAAATCATCAATAATATCTTTTATAATTAGTTAAATTTGTAAAAATAAAACTTATATGTTACTCTCAACTTACCACATATATTTTTCTTTTTATTTATCATTAATTCATGTTGTTGTTAAAAAATATTGACTATATTTGTCAAAAGAAATTTATATTATATTATTATAATATAAATATATTGACTATATAAATTTGTCAAAAAAATCTTAAAATAATTGAAATTCAATATAAAAATAAAATTAATCAACGTCAGTATATCACACGTTTTTCAATCTAGTTAATATTATATATATTATTTTTGAATTATTATATTTCACTTCTCAAGAAAAGAAAAATTATGAAGAAATTAAACGGTATAAGAAAACACCTTTAATATCACAAATCTATATAATCTCGGAAGAATGTCCTTGTATCACATGATTATCAAGAATAAATATACATTATGTGTTAGCTAATAAATTTGTATATTTATTTCCTTCTCGAGATAGATGGACAATTCGAACATTCCATTTCAACTCCAACAACTGTTTGATCTTATTTTCAATGCTCCACCCTATAACACTAGTAATATTAATAACAATCACACTCTGAATAACCACCATTGAATCTAGTTGAAATTTGAAATTCACGACACCAAATCTTCTAGCTAAACACATGCCTTCGTAAAGATCCCATAATTCAACCATATTTGTTGAGGTATGATCCAAATACCGAGTAAATCCACAAATCCACGTGCCATTGCTATCACAAATGACACCACCATAACTTGCAACTTTTTTATTCATCTTACCACCGCCATTTGTATTCAAACACGTCCATGAATAGGAGGAGACTAACTTACATTTTTTGTTTGTTTAGAAGTGTTCAGACTCATCCTTTGCACGTCTTTTAAATTTTGATACCATTTAACTTGATCGAAGATAAAACGCCAAGGCTTCTACTTACTTTTATAGTTGTCATCATGAACTCATTTGTTTCGCTACTGCCAAAGCCAATAACAAGTAGTAACCCATATGTTTCTCTACTTATCATCACCATTTTGATCAGTATCATGAGTTATATTAAACTAAATCCATTGTTAGATTGTCCAATGAAGAATCTTCCGCAAATATCAATATTCACTAAATTACTCCAAATCTCTACAACTAGTGGGCAATCCTTGAGGACGTGCATTGTTGTGTTTTCAAATGAGTCACAATGAGTGTAGTAAGTCTTTTTTAAATACCACCTAGCCACACGCTTATTAGTAAGAAACATATCATGTGAAATTTATCACATGAAAACTCTCACTTGCTCCAGAACATCCAACTTCCAAATTCTCTTTCAATTTGGGACATTTTCATTTAAGTGATGTCCTGCTAATAATTGATATGCTTTTGAAACAATAAAACTTCCCAATCTATCTCCTATAAATAATGCATTGAAAAACTATTCAAAAGCACATTTCAAATCATATCTAAATACCACTCGCCCTCATTAGTGTTGACATCACATAATCTCTAAGTACTAACGTTCTCAAGCACCATGTCAACCAGATTTTGCAATCTTGATGTCTCATTCAGCCACTTATCATCCCTAAAAAGAATATTTGTGGCATTTCCAACACCCTGAAACTCATTATCATGAAGCTTAGAGCATAAACTCGCAATAGACTTCTAAAGAGCCGAATCAGTTGAACTCATCATAGCTTCCCCATTTATAGTACCACCTCGGCCATATTTCCATTAAGAACTTTAGTACAAAAACTTTGTTCCCCTATTCTAAAAGTCCACCCAAACTTCATAAGATAAACATTATTCATATACTTCAAATTTTTAAAACCTAACCCTCCCATGCCTTTCAGGAGAGTGAATATATCGATAGTAAATATCTCTGAGAGTAAATATCTCCTTATATAGAGCCAATACAGTTAGCAGACTCATTAAAAATTCCAAAACAAATTCCTAGCATATTCAATCTATTTCTAATAAGATTATGCATAATCTAGAACAAAATAAAATATGATAGGTTGAAGAAAAAAAAGATTGCGCATAATCTAGAATAAAAGGAAATTTTAACATGGCACCCACAAATTTATACATGGAACCTCTTGAAGTTTCATAATGGACAAAATACTCCTGGTGATGAAATATAAGAGTATTATGAACTAAACTTCCGGTAGAACATTGAAATTTTTGGTAGTTCAAAAAGAAAATTTTGACACGCTACAAATAATTTCATAAATTTTAACATTTCTCGGAACATACCGAAAATTTAGTTAATTCGGAATTTCCGGTAGGTTATAAAAAATTGTTTTATCCAACGGTTACGATTTTGCCGACAATTTTGTGTAGTTCAGAATGCACCGAAAACTGTATAAATAGGGGTCACTTTTTATTGAGAAATAATCAAAATTGAAAAATGCCTCTTCCTCAATTTTTGGTTGACGCAGCAGTGCACTTCACTGGATCACAAGATCCTATGAAGTTTCAGATTTCAGACAGGTTTCTGGTCCTCGAGTCACTAACAGAAAAGTTGGAAGAATTGTTGTCTGATACTTATAATAGAAGGATGAGGAAGACTTCATAGCGTGAAAATTGGAGCATGGATGTTGACGAAAGAGTTAGTTACAACGTTGTTGAGTTGAAGAGCGATGAAGATATGAAGGCCGTGTGAAAATCATATCGTCGTAGGCTAACTAAGGGGCCGTTGGAACGTCTAGAATCATCACGTAGTTTTTAGGTTTGTATGTTATTAGTTATGTATTTTGTTATGTTTTAAGCTATGAGCTATGTTATGTTTCAAGTTATGTTGATGTGCGAAAGATGTAATGCTCAAAACGAAGTGATAATAAAAGTTCAGTGCTAATAACAAGTCTATGTCAAAATGATAAATATAATACAATAATAACAACAAAAAACCTAGATATGCCCCCCACGGGCTATGGGTGTTGCTCGTGCCAAGCCTGTATATACCTCACCATCCAGGTTTACCAAACCCATGAGGTTATCCATGATAGAAACAATGATCTAGAGGTGCTCCTGGTCATCTGCGCCAAGGGAAGATGGCATGGCACATCATCATCAATAGGAACTTGAATCTCAGAAACCCCGACATATGACTGGTCGACCATATGTGGGATGATGCGAGGTGGGATATTGTGAGGTACCACTCCATGTATCCATCCTCACACTGTGACCCCTCTTGGACCCTCAACGCTCTCTCTCTATAATGACACGAGTTGAACTGAGGATGTTACTCTAAAACCATCTATCAATACCAACTTCACCACCAGGAATACCTGGAACATACTGTGGTATGCCATGGACATATTCATACTGTCGCAGTCACCTCTCGTGCAGGTGTCTAACCACCATGCTCTTCCACCTCAAATGACCTGAAAACAAAGAACTCTAATCAAACGGACGGTGAGCCATGTGACCATCGTATGGTGTCTAGTTGACATCCTCAACTGTCAAGGCATCCAGCCTCCTCCTATACTCCAACAATCCTCCTGAATGTGCCTATCTGGACCTCCATCTCCTCTCATGTGGTGCATCCACTGCGACACGCTGCTCCCTCACATCAATGTTACGGGGGAAGTGCTCGCATATCCAACACTAATAATAAAAAACAAACACAACAATTAATAAATAAAAAATGTCTCAACTAAATGTCACAACTAATATTTTAAATAACTATAAATAATGTGACCACGTACCTAGAGTAAACTCAAACATCCACAAATCTGTTTTGTCTCAAAGAGAGTCGCAGCTCCTAACGCCGTATAAAGAAGGGCCAATGCACAACACTCCTAAGCCCAATTATCAT